GTGCAAACAAATAGGATGGACACACTTGGTAGATTACAAGCTTTCTAATGACACCATACAAGGGGTATTTAGCGTTAAGCATATTCTAGTTATGTCATATTCATAAGCATATTTCCATAACACATATGGAGTGATACATCACACCCCATATCTGATGTGTTTACAAGTAGTAACGTTTTTTGAACTGCTAGGCCTGCAAATTCGGTGTACAACCTGGAACTCAAACTTTTTTTCATGGCTTATGCGTCCTCACCAGTAAAGATTCTGCAGTTAATCATTGTGTTGACTAAAAGCCAAGCCAGAATAGAATCCAGCTCATTCTCCTATATTTGCTTTGTAGTGCTAATAAGAGTAAAAACTTGTTATTCAAAAGGTTACTGTAGGACCTAAATCAAGGCAAAATTTGGTCCTTGGTCAATAAAGAAAGGAGGGTTGATTCTGAGTACGTACCCCATGGATGGAGGTGAGTGTGTATGTTCAATAAGGTGTCATTTTAACAGTCTTTTCAGTGTAGAACTGTGCTTTTAAACTGTCGGTATTGCATCAGAGAAATCTCCAAATGTTCAAGGGAATTTCAACTCTTATAATGGAATTTTTCTGTTAAGTTACAGATGATTGCTTTATGTCAAAACAAGTGTTAAAAAAATCTAGAATGCTAGCTTGCAAACCAAGGAACAAGGAGTTCTAAAAGTGCTACTAGCAGTTCTGAAGGGTAACTTATTTTAGGGTTTACATTATACTGAAATGAAATGCATCAATCATCGTTCTAATATGCTAGGTGTTTTCAAATCTGAGTGATAGGGAATTACAAACAGACAATGTGTTTTTGTGGAAGGGGATCATAAAAATGGCTTTAAAAAAAGACTTTGGGTGTGTACAATTTTATACTTGGTTTGTTTTACACTAGGAAAATTTCCTGTTGCTGACAACAGATGCAGCTGAACTAGTACTGAATGTTTAATTGTGTAGCTGTTACTAGTATTTAAAAAAAAAAAAGCAACTAACTTTGTTTAACTAAAATGGAATACTTCAAATTTCATACAACTTTGACTTACCACAGAAATAAGACTGAGAAGCTGGAAAGAGGTTTTGATAGTAGTTGTAGTATTGCTGGTTGACTTGACACTAAATGATGCTACACTCAGAACAATAATATCCATATAAAGTTTGTTTAGAAAAATGCAGCATATTTCTCTTCTATATAAGGTCCTGTTCAATCAGTTTTAAAAAGGTCTATTTTCTTTAGTGGGATTTTACCATAAATGTACATCCTGTTTTAAATCTTCTCTATCCAAAATATTTTCATGTGTTATCAACTTGCTTGCTCTGCCAATTTAATATACAAATGCAGTCTACATTAAAAGGTTTAATTAATGGAAATAACTGAGTTGAAAGCTATCATAATAACATTGTAAGAGCAGAGACATAATCCAAAATTCTTACAATTCACATTTATCACGTTTACAAAAACTAAAATTACACACTACAAATAATCAACAAAATCTATGTAATACTTGCCCACAAAATAACCCAGCCTTTTGCCACCGTACTAGTTAGTGCTTCTCCTCTCCAAATATCTGAAATAAAGATGAGCTTTTCAACATGCCTAGAAAATACTTTTAGGCTTCAAAGGACCTAGAGGGGAAGAAGAAATCCAAAGCTCAAGAGCGCTCCTGAAGAACACTGTCCCAGAAACCTTCCTTCCTTTTAAAATATGGGGCTGACATCTTTTGAAAAAGTATGTCAAGGTTCCTTCCCCGCTCTGAACTCTAGGGTACCGACGTGGGGACCTGCATGAAAGCCCCCTAAGCTTATTTACCAGCTTAGGTTAACAGTAAGCTGCCACCACCAAGTGTGTTCCCAAATCTTAGGGAAGAGCCATTTGGAACTCTGCCTTTCCCCAAATATTTCCCAAGTCTCTCACCCCCCTTTCCTGGGCAGATTTGAGACTAATTGCCCCCCCCCAAGTCCTTACCCCCCTTTTTCTGGGTAGGCGTGAGAGTATACCCTTACCAATTAGTCCTGGTGAACACAGATCCAAAAACCTTAGATCTTAAAACAGTGAAAAATCAATCAGGTTCTTAAAAAGAATTTTAATTAAAGAAAAAGGAAAAAATAATCTCTGTAAAATCAGGATGGAAAATAACTTTACAGGGTAATCAGATTCAAAGAGCCCAGAGGAATCCCCTCTAGCCTTAGGTTCAAAGTTACAGCAAACAGAGGTAAACCCTCTAGCAAAAGGAACATTTACAAGTTGAGAAAACAAAGATAAAACTAACACGCTTTGCCTGGCTGTTACTTACAAGTTTGAAATATGAGAGACTTGTTCAGAAAGATTTGGGGGGACATGGATTGATGTCCGGTCCCTCTTAGTCCCAAGAGTGAACAACCCCCAAAACAAAGAGCACACAAACAAAAGTCCCCCCCCCCCGCCACCAAGATTTGAAAATATCTTGTCCCCTTATTGGTCCTTTGGGTCAGGTGACAGCCAGGTTACCTGAGCTTCTTAACCCTTTACAGGTTATTTTTGTGTCTCTGGCCAGGAGGGATTTTATAGAGTTGTTACCCTTCCCTTTATAGTTATGACATATGTCATCTGATAGTAACTGAGGAGGTGAAAGAGGCAGTTTGTCAGAAAAGCAGGTTCTTAAAACACCTTAAATCTCTCTAGTTTAAAACCAATACTTTCAGCTCCATCCAGAGGCTGATAATCCACCATTCCCTATTGTGGAGTAACAGTAACATGCCATCTATATGACCTGCAATTTAGTGCAGACTGTGGCTACTGCTTTATTAAAACTTTAGATTCTGGGTGCTTTCAAGGTATAGCCCCACCTACTTCCATACATTAGTCTCAACTTGAGCTGGAAGATGTGGATAACTGTACCCAAATCTACAGCTGGAAGGTCACACTCCTTCCCAGGTACAAATGGAAAGAATTTCAGTCACAGCTGCTACATGGGTATCACAAGATAAAGGGTGGGAGGGAAGGGATTTAACCTATAAAGATTCGAGCAATATGAAAACACAAACAACGAGGAGTCCAGTGGCACCTTAAAGACTAATAGATTTATTTGGGCATAAGCTTTCGGTAGGGGGACATTAAAGGAGAGAGAGTAAGGGAGGGAAAGGAGCACAAAGGTGAGCTGGAGTCAGGTTGAAGTTAAGAGACTGAGGGAGCAAATAAGCAATCATCGGAGGGGAAGATACCCAGAATAAAAGCTTTCAAAAACTAGTTGGATGCAGATGACATCATCTGAGTCTGCAGGCTCCTGCTTTAAGCTACTTTTGTCTGCTCCAGCTGGCTCAGTTTCTGGTTGGCTCCTCCAGTAACTTCTGTGGGTGCCTGAGCTCAGATGGCTCAGGAGCAGGTGGGGCCACATGGACCATGGTGCCCCCCGAATAGGAGAATCTCCTACATAATTCTAGGTCAAGGGGGCACTGGCTTTGATTAGATCTCAGCTCCCACTTCCACCCAGTGTTACAGATGTACTTCAGCAGTTTTTCTCTGCTTTTGCCAGCAGAGTTTCTGGTCGGCTATCAGGTTTTTTGGCATTCGTTAATATATTTTTACTAATGTTCCATCGCTCAGGATTGGAAGACCATTAAAGCGTACTTGTTCTTGGTGGATATTAAAATAGGATATCTGTACCTATATTTTGTTTCAGCAAGTACTTTGCGGGTATGTTATGTTCTCTTTAGAACCTTATGGTTTAGCACATCTTCTAGACCAAATGTGTTCTTTTATTGAATTAATATAATGGGTTTATGTATAAACAAAAAATCCAAAAAGAGAAAATTAATCACAAGACTGCTATGCAAGAGAAGAGAACTTTGATACTTACGAAATAGAAATCCTGTTTTTCATAGGAAGGAATACAGAATTGCAGTTTTTTCCTCAAGCCTACATGTAGAATGAGAATATTTAAACATAGATGGTAGTGGCCATTTGAGCTCATGTACATAGTGCTGGTAATAAAGTGAAAGTAATGCTGTTACTGAGTATGCCGTTCAGAAGTGTGTCTGAAGGTAACTGATGAAAGACTAACAACTTCTAGAGACTATGGCATCAGACACATTTTTCTCACTTGTGCATTTTTTACCTTTACTGGAAAAATAATTTTTATATGGCGGATGAAATATTGGGTCTCAGATTTGTAGATTGCTTAAAGTTTTTGAAGGGACATGTTCAAGTAAAATGACTGCTGTTTGTCACTGAACAAAAAGTGAGAATTCTGTTTGTTCTGGGTCCTGTACAAAATGGTGATAGGAATTCAAAATAAGAATGTAATGATTAGGATTGTGGGCATGGATTTATTGAATAGCTCTTATCTGATGTACATGGTTGCTAGAGTCCCAATTGGTATGTATTTTAAAAGAAAATGACACATTAATCTTTCCCATAAGAATATAAATTACTAATTCAAAACTATCAAGATGTTTTCTAACACACTATATAAATTTGAGTTAATTTGAGAGTGTTTTCTCCAACCTTGACAAATGCAGTCTTGTGTTGCTTATCCACTAAAAAATCATGCTATATAGATCATTTTGACCACATCACCTCTCTTTGTATCCCTCCACTGGCTTCCCCGTCTAGGGTATCAAGCACAACTTGCTCATCTTTTAAGGACATCATGGTTTAATCTCCCTGCTATATTTTACTTTTTATAGTCTATTGACACGAGAACCCCCATTTCCACTCTGCCAATAATGCTAGACTTCATCATTCATTTGTTAAATTTTCAAATATCGTGTTTTCTCCCATGTCTTATGTATATTATGACTTTTTTCATATGTTTTACTTGGATTGGCATGTAATTAAAAAACTAACATAACATTTCTGTTTTAACTAATTGTTGTGGTTGATTTAAAATGTTAGCTAATCTAATTTAAGGTTGAATATTTTTTTTTTTTTTTTTAATTCAGGAAAACAATTCACTCTCCGTTCTGGGTCATGTCTTATTTTCAGCAGGCTTTTCTCTACTTTTATATTACAGATGGTTTGGCTGCCCTATCGTTTTCCATTAGCTCCTTGACCTTGATTGGAATGTTGGCAGCTGTCACCTACACAGTAAGTCTCTATCCCGCTACACACACTTTTTTAATTCTGTCTTGTATTGCTATTTTGTTGATATTGACTTGCAATTCTCATCAAAAATTAGTCTTGGATGGAAATACTTTCATATTAAAGGCAAAGCAGGGAGACACTAAGGGGTAATAAAAGGATCTGCTTGTTGTCAAGTTCCTCTACATTGTAGCTGTGGCATTCTATACCTTGGGGCAGCACCCTGTAATCCCCATTATTCCTCATTTATATAAAATTGTGGTATTGCATATAAAGCATACCATGTGAGGTATCAGGAGAAAGGTTGTGATCTGCTGAAAGTCATTGTTCTATTTAAATATGTATATCATTTAGTACATATGGAGTTATGAGATTGTATTGTATGGTTGTCACTAAAACATGCTGTAAGTTGGGGAATCAGCCAGATATTCGCTCCCTAGGGAGAACAGCAAGGAAAGTAACCAACGCCTGGGAGGGTGTCGAATAGCCATTGTCCAGCAAGGAAGCTATGATGTAATGACTCACTTGCACAAGGCCACACCAGGGGAATTGCTCAACCTTGCCTGGGGACTCAGTAATACCCACCAGACATGCCTGGACTTGTGTTTTCTAAGCGCATGGGACTAAGGGTATAAAACAAAGCCCAGTGACCCCATGATTTGCCTTCTCCCCCCACCTATGCTGAAAGCAACAAGAACTTTCAGAAAACAGAAGACTCCAACAGAGGAGACTGGCCCAGGTTTAAGAGACAAAACTGTATACTAAAGACTGTAAGATCCAGTTGGGTGAGAACATAGCTTGGTTTAAATACTATCTAGTGTGGTAAGGGTTAAGGTTTAGATTGCATGCTTATATTTTATTTTCTTTTGATAACCACTCTGACTTTTTGCCTGTCACTTATAATCACTTAAGTTTATTGATTACAAAAGATAGATTTTGTTTTACTGTTTAGGCAAACTCACTGGTAAAGATAAAGTGTTTTGGTAAATCTGCTCAGGTTTACAAAGGATGGTGTGTATCCACTTTCCATTGATGAAGTGGTGAACCAATTAATAAACTTGCATTACTCAAGAAAAGGTCTTGAGCAGTGCAAAATCGTATATTCCTGAGGTACAAGGCTGGGAGCTGGGGGCATTTGGCTGGGTGCCTATCTCTGTGTGAGTCATGAGTGGCTCTGGGAGCATTCATGCAATTTAGCTGGGTGTGGGACTCCACATGTGATTGTGCTGAGTGATAACCGCGCCTGGAGGGGCTGTCCAGATATGTGCCGTAATTCCAGTTCCTCATCCCTTTTGAAATGTAGAAGAAGGTTTCTAACCATCTGTCATAACTATAAAGGGAAGGGTGGCAGCTCTCCTGTGTGCAGTGCTATGGAATCCCTCCTGGCCAGAGACTCCAAATCCTTTTACCTGTAAAGGGTTAAGAAGCTCGGGTAACTTGGCTGACACCTGACCCGAAGGACCAATAAGGGGACAAGATACTTTCAAATCTTGGGGGGGGAGAAAGGCTTTTGTGTGTGCTCTTTGTTTTAAGGGGTGGTTCGCTCTTGGGACTGAGAGGGACCAGACATCAATCCAGGTTCTCCCCATCTTTCTAAACAAGTCTCTCCTATTTCAAACTTGTAAGTAAAAAGCCAGGCAAGGCGTCTTAGATTTACTTTGTTTTCTCAACTTGTAATGTACCTTTTACCAGAGGGTTTATCTTTATTTGCTGTACTTTGAACCTAAGACAGAGGGGGGTCCTCTGAGCTCTTTAAGTTTGATTACCCTGTAAAGTTATTTTCCATACTGATTTTACAGAGATGATTTTTACCTTTTTCTTTAATTAAAAGCCTTCTTTTTTAAGAACCAAATTGATTTCTCCTTGTTTTAAGATCCAAGGGGGTTTGGATCTGTATTCACCAGGGAATTGATGAAAGGTTTCTCAAGGCTTCCCAGGGAGGGAATTCTTGAGATGGTGGCAGCGGACCAGAGCTAAGCTGGTAGATAAGCTTAGAAGTTTTCATGCAGGCCCCTACATTTGTACCCTAAAGTTCAAAGTGGGGATACAGCCTTGACACCATCAGAGGAATAAACTTCTGGACCAGCCTCCCAATAGCAGTAGTGAGGGCAAATAACCTAACTATTTTAAGATGCAGCTTGATAAATTTAAGTGGGGTTGTATGGTGGGGTTGCCTGTGGTGACTGGAGTTGGAAGCCCAGGGTGTCTCTTGTGGTCCTGTCTCTCTTTTTAAATCTCATGCTTTGGGGTTTTCTGCTTCCTCTGAAACATCCAAGATGGTCATGCCTGGAGATGGACACCAGATTTGGTGAGCTAGTACTCTGAGGTAGTAAGGAGAATTTTTCCTCAATGCTTGGCTGTTTTGTCTTGCTCACATGCTCAGGATCAGACTGATTGCCATATTCAGGGTTGAGAAGGAATTTCCCGCAGGTTAGATTGGCTGGGACTTTGAGGTATTTTTGCCTTCCTTTGCCATTTGAAATACAGGCTGCTTGCTAGGATTATCTGGGTATATCTCACTAAATCAATTCCCTGCCACTACAGCGTCCTCAGGCATTGGTGCACGTTGGCCCCTCCTGTTTTGTCCTTGGCACACAATAGTTTAGACCCCTGAGCGCTATATTTCTTCACTCTAATCTAGAATATTGGACTGAATACGGGAGTAACTGGGTGCAACTTAATGACCTATAATGTACAGAAGGTCAGAATAGATGATCTAGTCAATTCTTCTGGCCTTGAACTCTGACTGTGAGACCTCATCTCTTTCTTCTGTAGTGCTTGGTAGATGGTTACTTTCATTGGCTAGGTACTGGATGCCATCTCAAGAAAAGAATCATTAAGGCAGCACTACGGGCAAGGCTTTTATTTTCTGATGCCTAAGAAGAGTGACAGTCTGAGACCCTTCCTGGAATTCAAAACCTCAATTGGTACATAAGAATTCAAGTTCATGATGCTTACTCTTGGAGACTGTCCCTTCCTTCCATGGCATGTGTTATACAAGCGGTCTGATTAAATAATCAGTGGTCCCTTCTGGCCTTGTAAACTAATATGTTATCCCAGAGAGATTGGTATGCAGTTTAAAGGATGCTTGCTTTTATGTGGCATCAAGTACTTTATGTTCTTTGTGGGCAAAAGACCCTGTCAAAGTTTGCATCCTTTTGGCTAGTTCATAGGCCCCGTGAATCTTCACCAAGTGCCTCAGTCTGGTTGCCGCACACTTCAGATGTCTACACATACCTGGATGACCAGCTTCTATGAAGGAACTCTCAAAAGGACCTCGACAGTGATCCATTGCTTGTGCAGCCTCTCCAGATTTTGGACTGTTAATCAGATGGGAGAAATCCACCCTTCAACTGTCTTAAAGGTTCATCTTCATCGGAGTGGTTATGGATTACATTCAGGTCAGAGCCTTTCTTCCAGAACAGAGAGGTTTGAAAATTTGAGGCTCCCTGATTACTGTCTGGAAAAATCTGTACAGCCCATGCATTTTTTTCCTATGACCGTTAGGCCTAATGGCCTCTGACCTATATCACAGTCTCTTTCAGCATAGAGTAACAGATGACTACACACAGAACATTCGCTATCAAAGGAGACTGACCATCTCTCCTCAAGTGTTCCAACTGCTTTCCTGATGGGAAAAACTGGGACATTCTCATCTAGAGGGATATGCCCTTTTACTCTCCCTCCATTACCATCGCAATCAACACCAATGCTTCCACTCTGGGTTGGTACATTCTCTAGATCGCCAAGTACATGGCCTCTGGAACACCTAGTAGTTCAGATTTCTTTCCAACCTATTGGAGCTTTAGGCAGGACCATGGGCCCTCAATGTCTCTTTGCCTGGTCCTGCAGCATCATGTAGTACAGGTGTTCACAGACAACGCCATGGCTGGCCATGAATTACGTGGCCAGCTGAGAGAGATAGGAACACTCCTATTTGTAAAAGTGAAGAACTATGGATGTGCATCCCAAATTAAATCCATGCAGTAGCTCTTTACCTTGCTGAGGAGAAAAACATGACGGCAGACTTGCTTGTGAAGTTGGTCTCAGGATCAGCGTGAGTGGTCTTTGAAAGCCAGCTGTGGCCAGAAAACCATTTTCCAGATGAGGCCATCCAGTAACAGACCTTTTTGTTTGTCTGATCAAAACACTAAATATCCAGTTTTGCAGCATGTCTGGACAAAGGTTTGTTCTCAGATGTTTTTGAAGGACTGGAGCCAACATCTTCTATGTGCTCTTTATCCCATTCCCACGATACGTAGAGTCATAATGTGGATCAGGTGAACAGAGCCATCATTGTACTATAGTCCCAGTGTGACCGTGTCAGCACTAGTATCCAGATATCTTGCAGCTGCACTGTATCTGCTACACTTATCACCAGGTCTAATGCCTCAAGAGCAAGGGAGGATTCTGCATCCCAAACCAGAGATGCTCCACCTTGTATCCTGGAAGATAACCTTGCTGGGGTTCCCTCCAAGACCTTTTCCAATCTGCTTATTCAGAACACCTCCTACAACTAGACAAGAACACTTCATCCTCCAGTTCTCAGGAATCCAAAAAGCTCAGTTCAACTCCAGATTTTGTCACTTGGATATCTTTATTTGGCATACAGCAAAGCTACGCTGAGTTGATCAGATTCAAGCATAGAGGGTAGGCATGGGTGGCAAGTATTGAAAACGGGGAGGCTGTGCCTCCCCAAACAGCTTTGTGTGGCTCCGCCCTCAGGCTCCTTCCTGCTTCCCAGGCTGTGCTGGGGGGGGCGGGGGGGAGAGGAGAGGATGCTCTTCTTCCTGCCCCCCCATTGCCAGGGCCCCAGGCTGGGGCTGCAGTCTAATGGGGACCAGCCTGTGCTCTGGGGCTGGGGGAGGAGGGCCGTGCTGCCTGCTCACCCCCAGCTCACCTGCCTGGTGCTCTGGGGCTGGGGGTGCTCTGGCGGCCTGAGGTGGGATGTGGGGGCTGGCTTCTGGAAGGAGGCGGGACTCTGGGTTCCAGCAGGAGGCAGTAGC